AACACATGAGGGAGAGTCTCATCCGAGTTACAATGGCGACATTTTGGACAGGAATTAGACCAACGACTCTTGACATTATTTACTGGGAGGCAGTTAAGTCGAGCTCGGTGAATGAAACGCCAATCTCTGAAACGAATGTTTAAGCCATTATATTGCCAGGTAGAACCATTGGCGAAGGTGTCGGTAGTAAGCGCACGGCCCACTTTTCCTTGATCAGGAAGAGCAAGTAAGGTGGAAGCAAAACGATCTTGAACATGAAAATGAAGGAAACGACTGGCTTCTTTGGCAAGCACAGAACCAGAGATCTCAGTGGAAAGGATAGGGAGACCATTGTCATTGAATTGAATTTCAACACCAAGGTTACGTGTCGATTTACGAACTCGGGCACATAATGATTGAATGTTATGACGTAAGTTGGTCAAACGGTCATCGGGGAGGCTAGACAGGTATTTAGATTTTAAAGCTGGGGTTGGATTAGATCGGCTAGCGAGTCGGACAGTTTGGTTTATCTCAGCATTAGCAATGTTGCTTACAATCGGGTCGGAACAGGAGAGCATTTTAACGGCATGAATTATAGCCTGGACATCAGCCTCAAGGGTTGGATCCAGGAGACCGAGACCACCAACGCGCTTATGAGGGAAGATGTAGGAAGCAGAAGCACGCGATGGTAGTGCAAATATTCTACGAACTGTTGCCACGAGGTGAGAACGGTACACCAAAAGATTATCTTTTTTGGGAAAACCAGCACGAAGAGCAAATGTTAGGGAAGGTTGAAGGAAGGTACGGATCATTTCCAGTTTTTGCCATGGAGCTAACAGTGATTTCTCGATGCTCTCCAAATCACAAGTAAGGTCCTGTACCAGATCAGAGATGTTGTCAGGGTCATCAATTAAGCCAATAGGAACACCAAGGTATTTGTAAGGGTTTTCACGGTCAAGTGGAGGGATAGGTTTGTTCTGAACTATAAATTCATTAAGTTCGAAAGACGACTACACTACACTACACTACACTACACTACACTACACTGCACTGCACTGCACTACACTACACTACACTACACTACACTACACTACACTACACTACACTACACTACACTACACTACACTACACTACACTACACTACACTACACTACACTACACTATTCATTCTTTATTACAAATTAATTTACAGGTGATGGGTCTTACTTAAGTCCTAGTCAATATATACAATTAGTGCCATAAATGGTCATAGTATCAAGATCAGTTCATATAAGCGAGTTATTTTTGTCCTAAGAATTTAAAAATGTCTATAAATCTATAATGTTCCAAATATATAAGTAAAGTTCCTCCATATGTACAGAATGTGAATTAGATACTGATTACAAATATATATTAAGCATGCTACTCAGAGTAATCTGCATCCACAGAACCCTCTGTTATTCCAAGATGTTCCCGGTAAATGTTTGTTGATCCTTGGATTGCGTCAGTGCAACACAATTTCCTAAACAAGGAACGATATCGTTTGGACATCCCAAGTTGTCGTAAAACGTTTTCATTGGCTGGATGCCAGGAACCAAGGGCACCGATCACAAAACCAAAGACCTCGCATTGCTTTCCTTGACCAACGAAGAATTGCTTCAACCCTTCATATTTATTAAGTTTCCGTTGTTCAGCGTCACGCAGGGCTTCAGCATTATTATCGAAGGGGTAACATACATCAATAATTAGCACTTTGTTATCTTCTTCTACTATTATGTCGGGGCGAAGACGAGAATTAGCGGCGCGAACTTGTTGGTCGGTGGTGACAGTTCCACTTTGAACGGCGTTGACGATGCGGTCCACTATGGTATTGTGTCTCCGCAGGATACTAGGCATGTTACGAAGGCAGTGGCACAACACATGAGGGAGAGTCTCATCCGAGTTACAATAGCGACATTTTGGACAGAAATTAGACCAACGACTCTTGACATTATTTACTGGGAGGCAGTTAAGTCGAGCTCGGTGGATAAAACGCCAATCTCTGAAACGAATGTTTAAGCCATTATATTGCCAGGTAGAACCATTGGCGAAGGTGTCGGTAGTAAGCGCGCGGCCTACTTTTCCTTGATCAGGAAGAGCAAGTAAGGTGGAAGCAAAACGATCTTGAACATGAAAATGAAGGAAACGGCTGGCTTCTTTGGCAAGAACAGAACCAGAGTTCTCAGTGGAAAGGATAGGGAGACCATTGTCATTGAATTTAATTTCAACACCAAGGTTACGTGTCGATTTACGAACTCGGGTCCATAATGATTGAATGTTATAACGTAAGTTGGTCAAACGGTCATCGGGGAGGCTAGACAGGTATTTAGATTTTAAAGTAGGGGTTGGATTAGATCGGCTAGCGAGTCGGACAGTTTGGTTTACCTCAGCAATAGCAATGTTGCTTACAGTCGGGTCGGAACAGGAGAGCATTTTAACTGCATGAATTATAGCCTGGACATCAGCTTCAAGGGTTGGATCCAGGAGACCGAGACCACCAACTCGCTTATGAGCGAAGATGTAGGAAGCAGAAGCACGGGATGGTAGTGCACATATTCTACGAACTGTGGCCACGAGGTGTGAACGGTATACCAAAAGATTATCTTTTTTGGGAAAACCAGCACGAAGAGCAAATGTTAAGGAACAACAACAACAACAACAACAACAACAACAACAACAACAACAACAACAACAACAACAACAAAATATGTATTTCACTCATTCAATTAAAATTTACATGAATATATATAGAAATTGAAATATAAATAGCATATGAGTACTGACCGTCTATAACAACCATAGGGGCTAAAATCTAGACAGCCAGTATATTTTAGGTCGGTACGATTACTGAAATACAACACAACGCGACACAGACACATAATTACAGCCTATTCAATATGAAATAAAAAGAATTTTCAAGAGTTTTCTCCTTATTCTTTTTCTTAAACTTCCTTAATGGAAGAGTTTTAGTACTTTCAGCAATTGAATTCCATATTTTGGTGCCCTGGAACCTAATATTAAACATTCCATAGTTTGTTCTAACTTTGGGGGTGAAAAATGTTTGATTTAAAGAGAATCTTGTATTATATTCATGTACATTAATTACTGGTTTGAAAAAAGTATCAAAAACAGGCGGTAAAAGTTGATCATGAAATTTTTTCACAAATACAGCAACATGGAAGGTCACCAGATCGTAAATTTTCATAATATTTAATGACTTAAAGAGTGGGCTTGTATGATCATAATAATTAGTAAAGGTAATGATTCGGATCATTCTTTTTTGTAAAATGACAAGTGGGTGGAGAGTGGTTCGATAAGTGTAACCCCATACAAGTATGCCATAGATTAAGAAAGGATGTATTAGTGCATAATAGAGATTTTTAAGAGTGCTTAAATTTAAATAATAACGAAGTTTTGATAAAATACCAATACTTCTTTTTATCTTATTTTCGACAAAGCTAATATGACCCTTCCAATTAAGTTTAGAATCTAACGTTACACCCAGATATTTAATTGAAAGTTCTTGTTTTAATAATTGTTGATTTACAACAATTTGTACGTTTGTTTCTATTTTCCGTTGCCTAGGATGAAATATCACAAAATTTGATTTTTCAATATTGAGGGATAACTTATTTACACATAACCATTTATATACTTCAGCTAACTCTTTGTTCAAATTAGTTTGAAGGGTTAAAAGATTATTACTTTTATAAAACAAGTTTGAATCATCTGCAAAAAGATGAAATTCCAACAATTTAGAGCAGTTAGCAAAATCGTTAACATAGATTAGAAAGAGCAAGGGGCCAAGAACTGAACCTTGGGGGACACCGCATGAAATTGTTAATTCGTCCGATAATATGTTATCCACACAAACAAACTGTCTTCTATTGGAAAGGTACGATGAAAACCACTTGTTAGCAAGTCCCCGAACGCCGTAAAACTCTAATTTCTTAATCAAAATATCGTGATTGACTGTGTCAAATGCCTTACTTAAATCTAGGAAGACACCACAAGCATAATCATGATGATCTATTGCTTCGTTAATTTTATCAACAATACTTAGTAATGCATAAGTAGTAGAATATGAAGTGCGGAAACCGAATTGCTTATAATACAAAATTTCCTTTCTTTCGAGATATTGGTGTAATCTTTTATACACAAGCTTTTCTAAAATTTTGTTAAAAATCGAAAGAAGCGAAATAGGTCGATAATTATTTAAACAGTTTTGTAATCCCTTTTTAAATACAGGAATAACCTTGGCTAATTTTAAACTTGTTGGGACAATACCAGTTGAAAGCGAGGCATCAAATATGGTCACGAGTGGTTGTGACACTATACATTTATAATTAATTTTAAAATTACAGCAGGTATACTAAAAGGACCAGTGGCTTTAGAACAATTTAGGTTAGCAATTTCTTCCTCAATTTCACCAGCTGTTACAGGAGAAAGAAAGAAACTGTCGTGAGAAGTCGGCGGAATCAAGTATTCAATTAGAGATTTATCCATAATTGTTGGAATCTTATTAGCTAAATTGCATCCAACATTAGAAAAGAAACCATTAAAAGCATTTGCAATAGATTTGGCATCAGTTAATTCACAACCATTATCATTTATAACTTCAGGGACCTGGTATGATTTTGATTTAATATTGATTAAACTTTGGATGCCTTTCCAAATTTGTCTGCTATCACCACCCTTAGCATCAAAGTAATTATTCTCTTAATTCAAACGATTGAAATTTCAATCTATTCGATTGAATTTTCAATCTTTTTCAGACTGTTCTTAGGGACCAAACGTTTACGATTGAAAATCACTCTTTTACACGACTGAAAATATAATCAATGTAAATCGATTTATTTTTCAATCGATTTTCAATCTTTCTTCGACTGAAATGTGGAGAAAATCGAAAGTCACACTTTGTTACGATTGAAAATTTTTCACTCTAAAAGAATGATTAAATTTTCAATCTTTTCGATTTTCAATCTTTTTTTAATCCAGTCTAGACTGGTATGAAGGACCAAACGTCTCCGATTGAAAATCACTCTATTTTTAGACTGAAATTATTCAATCTATGATAGATTGAAATTTTCAAATCTATTAGATTAGAATCGCCAATCTATCAGATTGACTATTTCAATCGTAAATAGGGCTGATTCTTCATCAATCGAACATCTAGACTGAAAGAAAACACAATATATACACATTACAAAAAACATTAATTAAAAGATAAATACTTTCACAAGCTATTCACGTATAAAATTAGTTTGTATATTTGTTTCACAACACTCAACAATTGGGTATTATGTTGTTTAAATTTATAAAAAAAGAGTTGATATCATATATAAATATAACATGTTTATATAACAGTGTTAATAACGTGCAGGTCAAATTTTAAAACTCAACATCCCTGCATGAAGAGCCAAGAGCTCTTACCGTTGGGCCCGTTTCGCACGGTTTAATCACCCCATAAATCATAGATGCTACGAACTCCCAAAACTGGAGAAGGGGAGGTGCGTACTCTACGTTAAAAACGTAGTGCGCTTTGAACAAGATGTCAAAGCTATTGATGAGGTCTGGGCCACATGGTATGACTATCCTATCTAAAACTAGAAAGAATTGATCAGGCTTTGATGCTTGTCCTGTTGAAAGCAGAAATGGTTGGGTATATACGTCATCCTTGTTGTTTGCTGCTGCTTCAACATCACTTCCACTCTACAAGAAATAAGAAACTAAGTTAATATATAGACTGCAGTGCTCAATGTACTTTTTACATAAGCTGTTGCTTTATTGCTGGACTTAATATTTCAAGGCTGAGGCGAATCAGAAGACAGGATCAAAATGCGAGGGGCCTGAAATCTTGACCAGTGGGAATTAGAGGGCTTTAAATTAAATGACCATCTCATACGAATAAATTACTACTTAAAACAGGGTGTAATAAATCAAACTTTTTAGCCGTACCTGACTGGCACTCCAATGATTATTGCTGCGTATTTAAGCTGGTACAAACTTAAGACTCAAGGTATATTTATAGTCTTTAGGATGAAGTACATAATGTACAAGTTTCTGAAAGGTATATTCATTCAGTAATCTGAACTAGTAGTTACATACACAAACACTACAATCGACTCTAACATTCCTTAGTCCCATCTCATCATGTCAGTCCAATCAGGTTTAATTCCAAGTTATGCCAGACTTGCACATATTCCAACTAAATTATGATTTGAATAACTTGGGCTTGCACAGGTCAAATGGTACAAGCAAAAAGTTAAGCACGGAGATAACAACAGACAACAGTACCGCGTATACCTACGTAGTATACGTGACTGAAAAGACAGAAGTGCCATATCGTAACGTTGTTCCGGTACGTAAGTACGCGAATTATCGCACCCTGCTTAAAGTGAGGTGAATTATTGTCCTAGAACTGGATCAATATACTTCACCAGGTATCCAGCGTTATCATGTCATTCATGTGAGCAAAATAAAGTAACATATGGTTCACTAATATACTCATGAATTATTATGAGTTTGAGATGAAAAGAGTTAAGGCCACTGCCTGTTATATTTGCTGCACTAGCCACTTACCGGAACATTTTGCAACAAATAGGAAATTGCACCATCTCTCGTGACTGGAACAGATTTTCCTTTCTTTCTGCTACTTGACCTGTGCAGCATGTACGCCAATACATGTAATGCACAAAGATCACCTATACAACAATCAATGAGCAAATCAATAAAATTTAAGGTAAGGTCTGAGTATCGATCTGGCTGATGCATGTTATGCATGACAATGTTGCACGAGGACGGCGAAACATACAACACAAAATACAAGATGTGTCGAAAACATGTCCCTGGGCCGAAAGTCGATTTGATATCGTAATAGCCGGTTCCGCCTATTACGTATCCTGAATACAACTATACCATCATGATACTTTACCGGTATTTT